TTTTTTTGGTCTTTTTGAGACAGGGTCTCCCTGTAGCCCCAGCTGTCCTGGAACTCACTACGTAGACCAGGCCGGCCTTGAACTCACAGAGATCCACCTGCCTCTGCCTCCTGAGTGCTGGGATTAAAGGTGTGCACCACCACGCCCGGCCAGCCCTTCCTTTCCTAAATTGCTTTTGTCAGGTATTTTTTCACAGTGATGAGAAAAGTAATAAAGTTCTCTAAGGAGCTAGGCTAACTAAAATCAAGGGAGGGGTCTTGCATCAATAATTAGAATTTATTGAGTATTATATGCTTAAAATATGCAAGAGATTATTGTTTTTCCATGTTTTCATTATGTTAATATCATTACAATCCCACAAGTTAAAAAAAGGAAGCTAGAGAAGTTAAGTAAGCTGGACAACGTCACAAAGAAAGGAGGTAATGAAGACAGGATTTTAATACAAGGCTTTCAGTTGCATGGTAGATTTATTTTCTTCCTTATGCTTCTCTGTATTTCCTTCAGTATTCAGTACCCATTATTGTGTGTCGGTGGAAAAGGTGCTAAGACGGCTCAGTAAGTGGAGGCACTTGTGCACAGGACTGATAACCTGAGTTCAATCCAATAATCTCACAAGGTGGCAGGAGAGAATTGAGTCCCGAGAGTTGTCATCATCCTACCTCCACATATATGCTGTGGTACATACATCCACATGTATACACATACATACATACATACACACACACACACACACACACACACACACAAATAAATAAATAAAAAGTAAGTAGTAGGGCATAGACATTTACTCAATGACAAGTAGGAACACCAAGATAAGTTCCCTGAAGGACATCTTATGAGACAGAAACCTTATCGTGGTTTATAAGCCATCATTTATTTGCTTTGCACAATAGCTAGTCTATCTCTTCTCATCTATCAGTATGGGGGAAATATAGCAGGCATCTCTTGCTTTTAGTAATAGATATATCTATTTGCCTAAGGTAAATCAAACAGTTACCTATAGACGTTATTTTCCCCCAACTCCAAGAAGAAAAAGACCTAAAGTAGAGATATGAGCTCACAAAAGGAAGAACATAAGCTGAGTGTGGTGGCACACACCTAGAATCCATTTGGGAAGTAGGGGCAAAATGATCAGGAAGTCAAGGTCAACCTCGGTTACATAGCAAGTTTGGAGCCAGCCTGAGACCCTGGCAAAAACAAAACAAAACAAAACAAAACACCACACAATAACCTATAAAACAGAAAGAATTTAAATGAGAGTAGATTGTGGCTGGAGAGATGGCTCAGCTGTTAAGAGAACTAGCTGTTCTTGCAGAGGATCTGGGTTTGTTTCCTACCATCCACATGGCAACTAACAACCACCTGAAACTCTAGTTCCAGAGGATCTGACACCCATTCTGGTATTTGTGGGAATTGCATGACATAGGTGCACTTATATGCATGCAGGCAAACACTCATCAAATAAAAATAAATAAATAAATAAATAAAAATTCAAATGAGGGTAGATTAAGTCACCTTGAGTTCCTGGAGTTGATCTGGTTCATAAAGTTGGGTAGACACTGCCTGTGCAAGGAAAGTGTCAAGTTCATGTCGATGCAGGATTCGGCCCCCAGGCCACTGAACCATGTACCTAGAAAACAAAAGCATGACTATTATTAGGTCACAAGTCCCATGCAGTCATGTCATAGATTCTAATTAAGAACCTATCATGGAGGTGGGCATGGTGGCACATGACTTTAATCCCAACACTCACAGAAGCAAGCAAGCAAGCAAGCAAACAAACATCCAAGGGCTAGAGATGTACCTCAGTAGTGGAGATCTTGCCTAGTATGCACAAGGTCCTGGACTCAATCCCCAAACCCCCAGAACAAATCAAAACAAAACCCAAAACAGACCCAAATCTATTATGGGACAAACTCCAGACTAATTTACAGTTATTCCAAAAGAATGAAATAGAAAAATCTCTACCTTTGACTACTTGCAGTCAGAGTGGAAGAGAAGATAAGCATGTATATCAGCATTGACAGTATAGTGTGTTAAGTATCAAGAGAAATGGATGCATAGGGTTCTATGAGAGTACAGAGGGATCCCATGGCTTTAAGAATCAAGGAGGTCACTCTGAAAAACTCAACAGGGGCTGAGTTTCATGGGGGCCCTAGAATTTACTGAGTCACAAGATGGGAAAGGGATGTTCTAGACTGAGGGAAGAATATTGTAAAGGCACAGAGGTATGATTTGGCAAGAGGTTTGGTATTGCTGAATAATAATAGACAAGATTAGAAAGTAGGCCCCATTATGGTTTCCCAAATAAGATTATTGAATGTGGCTCTTCGTCTTGAAATTGTAGGGTATTTAAGGATTGTCAGTAGGAAAGTGATATTGACTAGTTTGATATTAACTGGTTCAGAGGGGATTGGGTAAGAGGCACGCATAGCAGATGCAACAGGACTGAGTCTGTGACCAAAGAGAGACAAAAAGGCACTGGCAGTGCGCAAGAAGTAGGTAGAGGATAAAGGTAAGAATTATTAGTATATAAATTCACAGGACTTGGTCATGGAAGTTTCTTTTACTGTGGTGCCAGGGATGGAATCCAGAACTGCATGCATGTTAGCAAGTGTTTTGCCACTGACCTACACTCCCAACCCTTGGTCACAGGTTTTATAGCAAGAGAGTGAAGAGAAGAAAAGGGAAAAGTTTAAGACTCCTACAATTCTGGCTTGTGAAGATGACTGGATGATACAGTGCTATTTTTAAATATAGGAAATCTACTAATTAAGTACTTATTATCATTTGAATTGAATGTCCATAAGTTGAATGTCTTACTATTTTTGATACTGATAATACAGAGACAGATGGAGAGAAAAAACTACAAATATATCAGGATAAGGCATATCCTTCAGTCTGTGAAGGCCCATAAGACAATGAACACACATAATTCCTGGAGTTGTACAAGACATTGGAAATTTGGCATTTAGAGCAAGGAGGTTGCCTGAGTGACAAATGGGATGGATTTCTGGGGACTCTGGTTCAATTACAGGAGACAGTGTAGTACCCTGGAAAAAGCCAGGGCTCTGAAGCCACAATCTGGCTTAGAATCTAGAAAACATTGTGAACTATATTTCCTCCCTTGGAATGATCACAACAGTATAAGCTTTACTACCACCATTACTTTTTCTTCAAGTTCAAAGTGATCTTCCTTTGGATTCCACAATGATTCAGGAAACACAGGGATGACAACAAACCTTGATACTTCTTTAGGAACTACATTCTAAATGACTAGGCTCTGAAGGAGGGAACTCTCTGTACCCCACAAAACATCCCTTTGTCCAGAGCACTTTGTACCCTCTTCCTTACTAACACTTTGTTCATACTTTATAACCTATTTTATACTTTCTGATGCTATATTATTTAGCACATAATTTATTTTTTAAAATATTTTATGGGCCTCCGCTGCTTCTCCATGAAATAAGCCAGATTCACAAAGATAAGTACCGTGTTTCCTCTCGTTCATGGATCCTAGACTTCATATAGATACATAAAACCATGCATACATGTGCTTATATATGTATGAGGTAGGGGAGAAAGAGGAGGAAAGGGAAGGGAGAGAAGGATGGAGGGGGACTAGCCCAGGTAAGTTGGGAGAAAGAGAAGGCCATGTGGGGTTGATTATGGTCAATTATATGATATATTTGAAAGAAAATTTTTAAAAAAAATATTTTATTTTTATTTTTATGTGTATGAGTGTATTTCCTGCATGTGTGTAAGTGCACCCGTGACATGCAGTGCCCTCAGAGGTCAGAAGGAGGTGTCAAATTCCCTGGAACTGGTGTTATGGATGGTTGTTAGCCGCCATGTGGGTGCTTGGAATTGAAACCTGCTCTACTCTTAACCAGCGAGGCATCTCTCCAGGCCCCTAGTTTTACAATTTCTTGATTTAACTTTACTTAAGCTTTTATTTTTAAACCTTTCAACCTACTTTGTTGGCAAAGGTAAAGCAAAGAGGAACAGGAGGAGAAGGAGGAGGAGGAGGAGGAGGGGGAGAGGGGGAGGGGGAGAGGAGAAAAATGAACACAAATGCAATCATAGTAGGAGATTTCAAATGCTATCATTAAGCTATGCCATGAAAAGTATAACTAAAATAAATTTCAGGTTATAGAATATTTGATTAACAGAATAAAGTTTGAATTTTGATTTTACACAAAGAAAACATATTCCAGTGCCTCTGTAAGTTTCCATGATGTTTAGGGACATTGCTTGTGTGTTCTTGTTGGTCTTTATTTATTATCACTCATTTATTATGAACACTCTACTACATGGTATACAGTGGGTATTGGTAAATATTTATTGGAGGAGTAATTAAATTTACTAATCAGGTAATGCTAAAACAAATGACAAACAAAAAGCAAAACAAACAACAACAGACCTTCCCCAAACTACCAAAGTAGAATTTTCCAGCTAAATCTTGAATGTTATGAAAGAAAACTGACCTAAAGGATTCAGATATGGAGAGAGACAAGCTCATAGATTACAACATAGACTACAACACACAGGGCATGATCTTACGGCCTGTTCTGGGTACTGACTAAATGCATCTGTAGAATCTGAGAAGGCTCTACAGAGGAGGAGGTATTTAATTTGTTAAGGATTGCAATTTTGCATTTGGATTGATTTACGTTTTAATGTTAATCTGAAATCTCTTTCAAGCTTTTGTATAGTGTATGCCAGGGTAGGTGCTCAATAAATATTTGCTGAACAAATGGGTTACTATCAGCAGATTCAAAAGGATATGCTAAGCTCAATTTCTAAACCAGTGCTGCTATTCAACTACTGTTGAATAAATTATGAGTCATGGTATAGGGGCTAATGATTCAGAGGAGGGGAAAGCTGAGAAATGGGGTAGCCAAAAATAACAATTATTAAATCTACCAATATTTAGTGATGTTTATCATATGCTATTTTCCAAATTGTATGACTCCACTGAGGATTTACTCTGACAAAACTGTTACCATGATTTTATTTCCCAAGGAATCTCTCAATGACAAGATTACATCTTTACTATTAGTAGTAATTACATTACTATACACACTATATGTATTACATGTTCTATTATATTATAACTATAAGTTACTCATATGAATAATATCCTTGGTTCTGAGATCCCACTACTCCTTTATATGTAACTCTGGACAACTGCCTTAACTTCTGGTACATTTAGTTTGCTTATCTCTAGAATGGGATAATATTGTCTACATCTCAGAATATTGTAATAAAGTAAAAGAGAACATGCACTCAGCATTAGTGTCTTGCACAGCTGGTACTCATTATAATTTGTATATAAACCAATTATAGTATAATCTTTCCTTTCTATTTGGTGAAACATTTATCAGACACTAAATTTGTTTCTATTCTATAATTTTGTGTTTATCTGTCAAACTAGTATCACACTGACTTAAATTTAATAATTGGTAGTCTTTTACACAATTTCTACCTTTAATTAAAATTTTTTTAATTTTTATATTATGTGTATGTGTATATTGCCTGCATGTAGGTAAGTGCACCCGTGTCGTGCAATGTCCACGGAGGACAGAAGAGGCTGTCAGATCCCCTGGAACTGGAGTTATGGACAGTTCTTAGCTGCCATGTGGGTGCTGGGATTCGAACCCAGGTCTTTTGCAAGAACAACAGTGTTCTTAACTGCTGAACCATCTCTCCAGCCCCCTCTACCTTTAATTTTAAGCAATGTTAACAATTTTATTCTGATTACAAAGCTTCAAGTTCATTCTGACTCAGAAAATGTTAAAGGGCTAGGGCTGAGCTATAGAGCTGTAAAGCCTAATAACCACAACAATGACCAGTGTAGCAAACTATCTCTAGTGGTGCCGTAGTGGCACTATTATCTTGGGGAAAATCAAGAGTCATCCAATTGGACGTAACACCTGCTCAATGGGAGACTTTAGCAGATAGCCTGAGATTGCCTAACCTGGACTCTGCCTGGTGTAGGGGCTCAGAACTCAGCAGACCACCTGAGAGTGCCTAGATCTGGCCTCTACCTGGTGGGGCTGAGAACTCAGCACATAGCCTGAGAGTGCTTGATCTGGCCTCTGCCTGCTGTAAGGTCTGAGAACTCAGCACACTGCCTGAGAGCACCAAGATAGGGCCTCCCCTTAGTGAACTTCCCAAACTGTGCTGTGAGTACTCACTAGCAGGGGTCCAAACATTAGAAGGAAGCCTGAGTGTACCTCACCGGAGCCTGACTTGGGCGTCTGTGGGAGCTCCTGAATAGCTGACCTGAAGCCATCAGCTCCCTCCAAAATAAAATCTGAGAGAACCTGAAACCTAGACCAACCAGCTTTACATAACCAATAAGAAAACAACCAAGGTACACCAATAATACAAACAGAAGGAAACTTCAACTCAACAAAGGCTTGAATTTCATACCAGAATCATGAACAACAAAGGAAATCAACATGCTGAAATCACAACGAAAAATAATAACATGGAAAACCAAAACAGCATGTTCCCACCAAACTCCATCAGGCCTGTAGAAGAGTTCTACAAGGAGAACACCCTAGAGATAACACAGGACACAGAATTTAAAAGAACAATCATAAACATGATTGAGGAATTCAG